TTCGTGGAGGAGATCTTTGAGCAGAGACCTGAGTGACTTAACTTTATGTGAACAGTTGAAGAAGGAGTGCCCTGGTAGAAAGGATAACATAGACCAGGGGTCTTATGCTAGAATCTGCTTGAGGTGCGTCAGGCATCCAGGGGGAACATGTAGGAAGTAAAGTAGGAGAGGCAGCCAGAGGCCAGATGACTTAGGGTTTGGTAAACCAAGGTGAAGTATGTGGAGTGAACTTCAAGATTGGAAGCCAGTGAACAGTTTTGAGCAGTGATTGATGAGTTGATCTCGTGTCTATTTTAAAAGAATGTGACCTGGCCTGGGCCCTCCCTGGTGATGCAAGGAGTTAAAGCACAGCAGTATGAGGCGATCCACAGCCACTGCAGCATGAGTTTGATCTCTGGCCAGGGGGGTGACCCACATGGCACAGCAGACCTCGCCTGTCTCGCCTGCTGTTCCCCTCAGCAGTGTATTTCAGTCGATCTGCCTGTTCTGCTCCCCACTCTGTCTCTGGTGAATCCTCTCACCACCACCCCCAAACCCTGTAGCTCTGGCCTGTACCCCAGTTCTTGTATGCATAAATAAATACATCTTAAAGAAAAAAAAAGAGAATGTGACCTGCCATGTTGATGAAACGACTATAGGGGGCAAGACCTGCAGCAGAGGAACACAGGTGTTATAGCCATAATCCAAGTGAGAGACAGTGGGGATTAGAACTCAGTGGTGTATCGTAAATGTTCACAGGCTCTGGGAGGGAGTGGGGAGGCTGGTGTAGTGTCTGCTAATTTCTCTGATGTCTTGGTGGACGCACTCCCACCATGATGATCTCAAGCTTCCAGTGTACTCTCACTGAACGTGGACATGGGAAATGATGTTGGCAATCAGCAGTCATGAGCCAGTGCAAGCTGGCTCCTGCACACGCGTGCTTATACTTGGCTTCAGTTGGCCTGTGGTGTGTTTCCAGGGAGTGTCCAGCTTTGTCTGCATTTTCAAGGGTAGATGGAAGCTGTACTGTGTTTTTGGAAAGAGGATGAGGAGAAGGTTATGGGAGGGAGTCAGTTTATAAGAGCTCTGTGCTGGGATCTTCCAAAATGAGCTTACATGTTGGAGGCCTAGCAGGAGCTCTGGACTGTCAGATCCTTTGAAAGTGGAGCTCAGCCCATAACCTCCCTGCAAACAGGAAGCTGGTTTGAGTTAGAACATAAAATAAAAACCAGCTGATGCCCCTGAATGTTTTTCCCCTGCTCCTCCCCCTGCTCAGAGCCAAAGGAAACGGCCTCTCCCCCCAACCTCATAGTTGCTCAGAAAGCCAGAAAAAGCCAAAACCATAATTCTTTTGAAAATAACCAAAGCTTGAGCCCAGGCAAACTCCTGCCCTTGGGGTTTTTCTAGACTGGAAGTCTTTTCCATTGCTGAGAATCTTAGGAGGAAAGTGACTAAGGAACACAGAGGTGCTGGCGATCAGAAACTGAAGCCGAGGGTTGTGGAAGAGGTGGTCTACACCTGGATACTTCAAACTGGAGTTGCCAGCTCATTCGTAGGTCTTGGAAATCAAGTGTGGGCCATGATCAGAATTAATCTTTTTTTAAAGATGTATTTATTTGTTCATACAGAACTAAGGTACAGGCCAGAGGAACAGGGGCAGTGAGAAGATTCACCAGAGACAGAGTGGGGAGCAGAACAGACAGATCGACAAAGTACACTGCTGAGGGGAGCAGCGGGTGGGGCAGGAGAGGTCTGCCGCGCCATGTGGTCACCTCTGGGTGGGGGATCCAACTCGCACTGAGGTGGCTGTGGCTCACTTGCAGTGCTGTGTCCTAGCCGTTTGCGCCACCAGGGAGGGGCCCCAGAATTAATTTTTTTTTAAAGATTTATTTATTTATTCATATAGAACTGGGGTACAGGCCAGAGATGCAGAGGGTGAGAGGCTTCACCAGACACAGAGCGGGGAACAGAACAGGCAGATTGACGAACTACACTGCTGAGGGGAGCAGCGGGTGGGTCAGGAGAGGTCTGCCACGCCATGTGGGTCTGCCATACCATGTGGGTCACCCCCGGGGCAGGCGGGGATCGAACTCATGCAGAAGTGGCCTTAGTCTCTTAGTGCTGTGCTTTAACCCGCTGCGCCACCAGGGAGGGCCAATTTTTTTTTTAATGTAGTTTTTTTTTATTACAAAAGTTTATTTCTACATCATTTTGTACATTTTCCAGAATTTTTAATGAAATAAAGCATAATAGAAAATAGAGTATATCTTATGCAATAGCAGTAACCCTTGTTGTAAAGCTTTTGCTTCAGTTTATGTACATCCCACACATATACTTTTGTATGTACTGGGCATATATGTAGATAGAATGTTAGTCTTTACTGTGGGTTGTGGTCAGAAAGTTTGATAAACCGTGAGCTTCCTTGGAGACCCAGGGTTTAAGTCTCAGCGCTGTGAGGCTCTCCACAGCCACTACAGCATGACTTCGATCCCCTGGTCAGGGAGCTGACCCACATGGTGCAGCAGACCTCTCTTGACCCGTCTGTTGTTCCCTTCAGTGGTGTATTTTAGTAGATCTGTCTGTTCTGCTCCCCACTCTGTCTCTGGTGAATCCTCTCACCCCCACCCTGTACCTTTATCCTTTTCTTGTATGCATAAATAAATAAAAATAAATCTTTTTTTAAAAAAGGAAATTTGATAAACCACTGGTATTTAGGGTCTGATAACTCACATCGCTATTAAAAAGTCCATGTGGGCCCTCCCTGGTGGTACAATGGGATAGGACACAGCACAACAAGCTGGCCACAGCCACTTCAGTGCAGAAGTTCAATTCCCGGCCCCGGAGGTGACCCACATGGCGCGGCAGACCTCTCCTGATCCGCCCGCTGTCCCCCTCAGCAGTGTATTTCGTCAGTAGGCCTGTTCTGCTCCCCACTCTGTCTCAGATGAATCCTCTCACTGCCCCTGCACCCTCTGACCAGCTCCTCAGTTCAGTATGCATAAATAAATTAATTTTAAAAAATAGTCCATGCTAGTTTCAGAATTCTCTGTGGAACTGGGTCAACTCTCCACAGAACACCTACCCAACACCTACAAAACTCCCATCAGAGGAGAACCAACAGACTGATCTGATTCTTTGATATCATAAGGGAGGGATTGATACAAATTATAATCCAGAGATTTTCCTGATATCAGATTAACTTGAAGAGAGAAGCTCACTGCACTTGACTTTGTGACCTTTCCCGTGGCTGTGGGTAGTGCTGGCTTCAGACTCCTCGGCTGCCTTCTTCTCAGCAGTAGGCAGGCGTTACTGCAGGAATGTTCCCAGTACTCCTCCCCCCCTGGGGTAGCCACAGGCACAGTGCCAGGATAGGGCGGAGTGCCCCAACCGAGTATCCCCCGGACTTCCCTGGGGTTATTTTGTGCTCTCCTGTCAGTGCCTGGCGCTCGGTCTTTTCAGAAAAGCAACTGGGTGCTACTAAGAAATAGTGCAATGAAGGAAGCGTAAGTCTGGGTAAACTATCAAGGATGTATATAATAGTCCAAAGTTACTTTGCCCCACGTTAGCTTTAGAGCCTCAGATAGGCCCCAGGCAACTGGCAAGCATGGTGCTGGCTGAGTGTCTGTGGGTGGGTGTGGAGCTATAGGCCGCCATGCACTCCATCAGTGAGGGCGCACATTGGAGTTCCTGGTCCCTACCCCCAAGAAGTATGGAAGACTCTTGGGGACCTTCCTAGGGAATAGCTTTTAACTTTAACACCCCAGGAGGCTTATTTTTGGCCACCATACCACATATTTTTCTGACCTAGTTCAAGCTAAAATGGCCCTTAAAGATAAGAATTTAAACAGGCCTTCTAGGAACCTTTGAGTTCTCTAGGACAGTAAGAGACAAGGAGAGATACTTAAACTATGCTGATTCTGGCCTTCCCCTCTCTAGAAACCACCTAGAACTAGGAATAGACCATCCTGCGACAGACAGGAACACCCCTGGAGTGTTTCTCATTCGTATCACCATCCATAGGGCCCCTACGTCTCCTCAGAGTCTGAGTTCTCAGGGCAGAGTCTGCAGTCCCGCCTGTTTACTAGACATTCTGCATTCAAAGCCCCGTCTCAGCTAGTGGAGACCAGGGACACCCCTGCGGAGCCAGGGCCGGGCTTCCATACTGCACTAGAGGGGCATACTTGGAGTGTGAATGAGGTTACCAGGCAGTCTGATTATCACATGGAGTCATCTAGCAGAAAGCAGTGGACTAATTTGAGGTTAGTGCATTGTGGGTCCTGGGGCTGCAGTTGGTGCAGGGCAGCAGTGGTGACGATGGGAGTGATGGGGCTGTCTTATGTGGCCATGTCCCCTCATCTCAGAATCTCTGAGCACTTTACACATGTTTCCCTTTCATCTCTGGGAGTTGTGGCTTAATGATAATGATTAGAGTGCTCTCAGCATCTGTCTTTACAAAACACACCATTAAGCCATGTGTCTACCTCCTCGCCTCCTAGTCTATATGAACTGGCAGACGTTTGGGGGTGGAGTCCTCTGATGGTGGGGAAGAACGTGATGGAATGCACACGTCAGGGATATTATGAGTCACTTAATTGATACCTAACATTCTTCTGGCGCTCGGCAGATCAGAGTGGCCTGTCTTCATGCCTGCCAAAGCACGAAGGTCAGCGACCTCCCCTGAGTCTCATGGAGCTGAGAGCCCAGCGTGGGGACCCAAGGCTTTATCTTGTAAATGGAACCTCCCCAAGTCAGGGGAACACTTGTTTCTCCGTAGCCACAGGCTTTAACCACTTCATTTTCTTGCCCATGGTCCCGGTAGCCTGAGTCCTGTTGAAAGCTGGCTTTCCCCATGTGATCAAGGGACTTGGGGTCAGAATAGAACCTGGAAAAGTCAGTAGCCCCAGTTTCCTGAAGAGATAGGGATATCTGAAAAGGAGCCAGAACTGCAGGGTGGTCCATGAGCCCTCTGCTCTTTTCTAACCCCACTCCGTCTCTAATCTGTCACTTCTCTGCCCTAACAGGTGACCTTGGAGAAGGTGCTTGGAATAACGGTGTCGGGAGGCAGAGGACTCGCCTGCGACCCCCGATCCGGTTTAGTTGCCTACCCGGCTGGGTAAGTGCCTTAGGAGACGTCTTCAGTGCATGGCAGTTTATAGCCACACTACGCCGGGTGCGGTGAGCTGGGCTTTCCTAGTGTCTTGTGGACGATGTGTCCAGCGTAATATTTTGGTGCCAGTTTTGTAAAGGCGACGCAGGGTCAGGCAGAGGCTCTGCCTTTGTTGTCCTTGTTGCCATCTTGCCCTGCTTGGTAGCCACCCGCGCCGCCCACATGTACAGAGTCACGCTTTATCTCACACGCCACTCCTGACACCATCTTCAGTGTCTCCCCCTAGTTATTTTCCACAACAGCTTTATTGAGATGTAATTTGCATACCATACAATTTGCCCCTTTAAAATGGTACAATTCAGTATTTTCATGCATACTGTGCACCCATCGCCACGGTCAGCTTTAGAATATCTAGAATATTTTCACTAGAAGGAAACCCCAGGTCCATTAGCGGTCCCTGTCCACATCCCCCATGTTCTGCAGCCCTAGGCAACCACCTGTTTTCTGTCTGTATAGTGTTGCTGGACATTTCGCATCAGTGGATTCATGCAATCTCTGGCCTTTTGCGACCCGCTTTTCTCACTCAGAATTTTACCCTCGCACTGTTCACTTTTGTGCACTATTCGATTTCTCCCTTTGGGTGTAGTCAGAATCGTCCTGCACCCCCACCTCACCCCTGCACCGTCACCACAGTCCCCTGTGCTCTTCCCTCCCCTGTTTTGATCCCTCTTCCTCCCCTTCTTCTGCTGCACGCCTCAGATCTATAGTTTGCCTGCAAGTTTTACCTTTTTCCTGACCCTTTGTTCGGCTTCCCTGTATTCCCCCTGCAAGTGAAACCATCCGGTATTTTTCTCTTACCTGCTGACTTCCTTCACTTACTGTAATTCCTTCAGTTTATACAGTTTAGCATAATGTTTTCAAGGTTCATCCATGTCACAGCACGTCCTTTTTAAAGGCCAAATAATACTCCATCGCAATGGTATGTGGGTATACCATGCTTGTCTTCTCATCATTCGATGAGCACTTAGTTTGTCTGTACTTATCACTGTTCTGATAGTGCTGCTGGGGACTCCAGTCTCCTCCAGTCACTTTAACAGATGTCAGTGCCATGGGGCAAAGTGGCAGGCTAGGCTGGTACTTTTCCTTGTGATGCCTTTTTACTCCTCTGCTTCTACAAATAAGTGTTTTGTTTTGTTTTGTTTTTTGTAAGCCTCTTTTCCTGGCTGCCAGGCACAGGGCCTCAAAATGGGGCAGGCTTCTCCCGCCATCATCAAGTTGGACGTGCCAAATTCCGTACTGTGATTTCTACAACTCTTGTGGTTTTTGTACCAGATAGGATTTTTTTTTTAAATCATTCATCAAAAAAGCTAAGTTATCAACAACTTACTTGCCTGCTACTTTATGAGTTATTTTATTTAATACTCAGAGCAACTATGAGGCTGGTAATTTTATCACCCCATATTTTAGAGGAGGAAACTAAGATTCAAAGAGGTTAAGTGGTTTGCTGGAGGCTACACCGCTCATAAGTGTTTACGCTGGGGTTTTAAGCCAAGTAGGTTGACTGCAGAGCTGCTCTTTCTCTGAAAATGACATGGGGTTGGGGACCCCAGACTTTCTGCTCATTTTTAAAAGCTGCCTTTCTTTCCCTTAAGCTGTCTACCTGCCATCTGAATGAGAAGAGCCCAGTTTATGGGCAGCTCTGTCTATGCCAGGGGAGACTTCTGTGAGGTCATTGTCTCTCCTGAGTGGTCTTCTGGTTTTTCGCGTCTGTGGTGGGGTGTCATGGGGCCTGCATAGTCTTTTCCCTGCTGAGGCCAAGCTGTTGCCTTCTCCCCACAGAAGCAAGTTGATAAATGGTCTCTCACTGGATGCCCGCCTCAGGGGAATTCCACTCATGCCTGCCTCTGCCTTGGGAAAGCCAAGTTCCTTCTTGTTAGAGGTGGGGCTAGGGCTGGATGCAGAATGGGTTGGAAAGGGCCAGGGGTGCTGCTCGGTGTGCTGCAGTGTGCCTGCCTGGGGCAGTGTGGAGCCCTGTTCCCTCTCTCTTCCCCACACCGCACCCCTCCTTGGCCTCTTGCCTGGCGCCTTTAAGGGCGTGTGCTTCTGTTTATGGGCAGTTCCCATCCTGGCGTGTGTGCCTGGGAGTCATTACCCTTCCAGGTGGTAGATAGAGGCCTCCTGCTGTTGACCTAGTAGAGTGCTTGGCTGGGTCAGCCCTGGGCAGTGCTCCGGATCGACTCTCTGACCTTTTGGTTTTCTAGGACTTCAAGTGCTTTCTTTCTGAATGGCCCCTTTGCAAATGTTTTAGTTTTACTCTGCTAGAATTTCCCGGTGTGTGTGTGTGTGTGTGGGGGGATGTTATGAAGGTGGAGGGCTGTGAGGGGGGAGGTGAGATCTGGGGGCTGCCAAAGTCTATAGGAGCCAAGCAGTCTCTTTCCCTCTCTCTTCCTATCTGGTGATCCTAACCCCACCCCCAGCCCACAAGCTCTTGTTCCTATTGAGCTTGTTGCTGTAGGAGAAGCTCAGGTATCCTAGAAACAAGAAGAGAAACAAAGCTCAGAAAATTCTCCCAGAGGCCTGGAGGCAAATATCAAACCAAAACAAACTTTTCTGAAAGGAAATGAAACAGCTCAGCGGAGGGCAGGGTGGGGAGATGGGGGTGTGTCCGGCAGAGGTCTGAAGTCTCAGGGCAGACATGGCTCTCTTTGCTGTAGTTTCCCCATAGAAGTCCACTCCTCACCCGTCATACAGCATGCCCCTCGGCCCCGGGATGCCAGGCTGGTCCCGGATACCCTCTCTGAGGGACTTAGTTTAGTTGAACATCCATAGTTGACTTGGGCCCCTTCTCTAGCCAGCGTGGTGGAGGGGCCAGGGGCTTTAGATAAGCCCCTGTGGCCACTGCGGTGTCAGTCAGCTCTGGGAACAGGTTTCTCTTGCCCCATAGTCCTGAAGTGCAGGGCCTGGGCTGAGTGAGTGTTCTGGGCACAGTGCTCCCTGCCCACTGGAACAGGCACTGTTCCAGCAGCCAGGAGACCTTTTGGTTGCTTCCAGGAGGAGGTGGGGAGAGGCCCCAGCTGTCCTGAGAAAACCATTTCCTCAGCCCGTGTTGGAGTGTGTGCTGTGGTCCTCAGCGCCAAGCACTGGGACAGGTGTGACGCCAGGCCCCCCTGACTGTGCTCAGCTGAGTGGAAGGAGCACAGAGCTGCCTCTTGACTCTCTGTGGAGAGCCTTGGGGCGGGGGGGTTGCCTGGGCGTGTGCGGGGGCAGTGGCGAGGCCAGGTGCACCTGAGACGAGGGCATGCTTAGACTCCCTGCCCTGGCAGGTGTGAATTGTGCCAGGACACTCACCCTCAGCAGTCCCCTCGCTGCTTTTCTCCTGGTCTTCCTACATAACTCACACCTGAAACCAGGCTCCCTTAATTCTTCCCTAGTTTGCCCATTTATTCAGTCATCTGTTCAGGTATTTGTTGAGAATATGCTCTGGGCCAGGCACCATTTCAGGCCCTGGGGATACAGCAGTGAATAAGACAGACAGGCTTCACTGCTTTTTTGGTGGGGGTTAGGCTCAAGAAGGGCCAGCAGGCATGTACAAATGAGCAAGATTTTTTGAGAGAGTAGTCGGTGTCAGAAGAAAATTAAACCTGGTGATGGCCAGCAGAGTGAGTGAGTAACTGGGCGCAGGAGTGGTGGGGCAGCTTCATGACAAGGCTGTCAAGACTCAGTGAGAGGTGACATTTGAACTATCTCGAAAGACAGAGAAATCTGATACTAAATGTTGGGGGTGGGGGAGGGGGAGAGGAAACCTCAAGTACAAACGTCCCCAGGAAAGAAGCAGTCAGTTCACTTATTTGGGGAGCTAAATAGCGGCCCTGGTGGCTAGACTGGAATGATCGAAACGTGCCATTTTGACTGGCGTACAGGTCTTGAAACTCACACAGGTCCATCCTTTGTCCTCATTTTGAAGGGAACGTGCTTAGAGAGTTTGAGCAGAGAAGCCAGCTGTGGCTCTGCACTGGGGCCGTGTCACTCGCTGGGCTAGTACTACTCGCTGGGCTTCTCATGACTTTGGCAAGGGGAGCGGGGACGGCAGAGAAGCAAGAGACACAGCGGTTTTCACGGCCAGCCCTGGCCACTTAGCTGAAAGGCACTGACTGCGGAGATCTTAGAGAATTACAGACGAGGATGCCCTAGGAAACCTCCTGGACTCATTATCTCGGGGTAACGAAAGCCACGCAGTTTCTGCTTTGGGAGCGTGTATGGTCAGTTGCAGTTCCACGCCTGGATGAGGCTGCTATGAGTCACAGCCTGCGGGGGCTGCCATGGTTGCTTGGAATTTCAGCTGCAGTTGCTCACCCTGATAGCCCTTTGCTCATTATTGGTGCACCCGAGTGGCCTTCAAGGAGCTTAGGAGCACCATGCTGGTTACTTTGCCATGTTACTTTTTTTCAGTTCTCCTAAAGATTACGTGAGGTGCATTATTCCTGTTTTACAGATGAAGAAACTGAGCTTCACAGAAGTAAACGAATATGCCCAAGATCACACAGTATATTAGCAGACTGGCCTGCCTGACTTGATTCTTCTTGTTCTTTTTGTCGTCACCCTGCCCGAATGTGTTAGTGAATCCCCTAAGGTAGGGGAGAATAGTGAGCTGCCCCCAGGGCCTGCTTCACAGGACTGCTACTCAGGAGCTTCCTGGGCATCTGGGCTGTGAGATCTGGTAGTGACTTCACGATTTATTTACTCATTCACCAATATCTGTTGAGTACTTATCTTCCATCCCCTGTGAACATCATAACAAACAAGACCGAGGCCTCCTTCACAAAGCTGGTAATCTAGTGATGGAGATAGATCCCCTCTCCCACAAAGAAGTAAATTTTATAGAATATTGCAAGTCGGTGTGTGCTTTGGAAAAAGTATAAATCACAGGCAGTAAAAGGGACCAAGGGAGTGTGGAGCTAGCAGGTGACATTTGAGCACATTGAGAATTTTGTTGTGCCTCTGTGAGTCACCTTCTGATGCTACCTGGTATGAAAGCAGGAATCCCAAGGTGCAGGGCTTCTCCTTGGACTTCCTGTGTCACGCTGCCTCTGCGCTGCTCCCTTCATGCCCGCCTTCTGGAAGAGAGAGTGGCCAGAGTCAGACGCTGTGGGAATGAATGCTGGGCTCTTCACGATGGTAGCAGGCCTGGACCTGCCCTGGGCAGGGGGCTGTCAGGGGCCTGGCCCTTCCCTGTTCAGCGTGAGTCCTGGGCAGGGGGCCCAGCCTCTGTTCCTGGTGTTCATGTGACTCCCAGGCGGAGGCCCTGAGAAACTGAGGCCTCTCTGTCTCCCTCTGAGAACGAGCAGTGGTTCCGCACCTGCACCCTGGGGTTCTGAATGTCGGGCTTCAGCCCAGCCCTTGTTATGCTGCGGATTACAGCCAGCACTGCTGAAGGGCCCACGTGAAGATGACTGCCTGCGTGCTGGGCAGGGTCAAGGGATGTGGCGGCCCAGGGCCAAGGATTGATGCAAGCCGCGCCCCACCCTCCGCTCCTCGCCAGCGAAGACCAAGGAGGCCTCCCCCTCAGTGCTTTTGAGATTTTCTTGGGCGGATTCAACAGACTGGGCCCAAGTGGACCCCTGACCGTCTTTGCCAGGTTTGGCCTACTTCCTTGTGCTTAGTGTTGGCCCCATAAGTGGGGCTGTGACTGTCAGCTGCCCCTTTCTCCTTCTCTGTGCTGGAAGGTTTCCACATTTGGATAATTAGAAGAAAAGCTTCAGCTGAAGGGCCTGTCTTTGTGTAAGTCTCTCCTTAGCCCAAATCTTGCCACACCTAAGCCTTTCCCAGGCCAGATGG